CATACTGTTTCATATCAAATTTAAATGTTTTTTCTATAAAGTTGATCAGACGGTTCTTGATAATTTTTTCTAGAATCTTGGATAACGTATAGTGTAATTGGTCTATAATTGCCAATATCTGTTTGGGGGCCTTTCTTGTAGATGGGTATTATTTTTCCAATTTTTAATTCTTCTGGGTATATACCAGTTTCTAGGGCATCATTTATCAGTTTAATTAAAGGGTTTTCAATAATACTAAAACAAGTTATTAGGTCACTCTTAGTTATGCCATCATCTCCTGGTGCACTAAAGCTTTTTAAATTTATTATTACAGATTTCAGTTCTGAATGAGTTGTAGGCTCAAGAAAAATTGATTCTGACACTTCTTCTTCTGTAAATCTTCCATCTGGAACATGTTTAATCTGTGCAGCTAACTGTTGGCCTATGGTTGAGAAATATTTATTAAAAGCATTTGCTTTCTCCTTAGCATTGTCCAAGATCTCTCCACTTTCGTCTTTCAGATTTCTTATTTTTTGTATAGCTTGAGTTTTTCTTCCACCAATTTCATTTATTGTATTCCATATTTTTCTATAATTTCCATCCGCTTCCTTAAATCGTTTTTCTGCATAGGATTTTTGTAGGGCTTTTCTTAGGTTATTCAGTGCATTTCTAGCCATTGTAAATTTTTCTCTTGTGAAATTGTTTGGGACTTTTTTCCATCTAACATATAGCTTATCTCTTTCCTTTATCATTTTAATGTACTCTGTTGTTACCCAGTGGTTGTTTTCTTTTATTTTTATTTTGTGTTCTTTAGTGCATTGTTGTTTTGTTGTTTTAATTGTATCAGCAAGTTCTTTGAACGTCGAAATCTCCTCCTTTTCTATTTTGTCTTGAAGCGCTGTTAGCCATGACTTGGTATTAAGTGATTTTCTGGATATTTTTTCTTTTTTTCTTTCACACACTTTTTTCTTGATTTTTACATATATCGTTTTATGGTCTGATATGCAATGGTCTTCAATAGTAATGTTAGAGTCTATGTTCTGGGTTGTTATTATATGATCAAGTATTGACGCTGTTTTTTCTGTCACTCTAGTAGCATTTTCTTTGGAAATTTTGTTCTGTATTTGGTATCCATTCATCTCTATTAAGCTCGTGTAATCTCTTTCTGCTTGGGAGTTTTTTAGAAGATCCAAATTTATGTCGCCAACCACTATGCACTCTTCTTTCTGTCTTTCCAGTATATCATCAAGTTTAGTTATATAGTTTTGGATTTTATTTTGAGGTGGCCTATATATACCATGAATGTTCAGTTTTTGATCAGGTAAATAAATAGATGCACTATTACAGTCTTCCGGTAGTAGACTCTTAATATCATTTTGGATGTAGTGTAAGTCATCTTTTATATAAATGGCCGTACCACCACCCCTCGTTGTTCTACAGTCATGAACAGCTGAATATGATGGTAAATTTAGAAAGTCAATTTCGTTTTCATGAATCCAAGTTTCTGTGAGTATAATCAAATGAATATTTTCTGGATAGTTTTTAATTATATCAATCAGATCTTGCAGCTTATTCCTTAGGCTTCTAATATTTATATACAATAGATTTAGGTAAATATTTTTACTCATTTTGGATGTAAAAATTTACTTTACTTTCTTTAATTTATACATATTTACAAATTTTCGAAGTGATCAATACTTAAGTAAATCACTTTTCTCTCTAATTCTTATGGGAGATTCATCATTGTTCCTTTTTAGGTAGATCCTGCCATTTGAGGCAAACACTGATTTATATTGCTTTGTCTTTTTAAACTCCCTCACTTTTTTAAATAGTATCTGGTTCTTCTGTGTCAAATCGTCGTTAAAATATGTAAAACAACAAAACAAAATATACGTGTTTAAGAGTTTTTCCGAAAAACTCACCGGTTTTTAAATAAAAAATATTTTAATATTTGAGGGATAGTTTCACCCCCTTAGAATTCGAGTTTGGAAAAATCCCTTCTTATTGAACCTCTACACACTAAAGTCAATCTGTTTTCCAAAAATCAGCTTTTTATGTTAAGCGCTTTAAACAGGATAGTGATTAGTCGATGACCAGATTTTTCGAAACACCCTTTATACATTTTTAAAAAGTCTTAAAATATGTAAAAAAACAAAATAAAATATACGTGTTTAAGCGTTTTTTCGGAAACTTGACCGTTTTTTAAATAAAAAATATTGTAGTATTTGAGGGTTTCACCCTCTTGGAACTGGAATTTCGAAAAATCCCTTCTTATCGAACCTCTAAACCCTAGAATCAACCTGTATGCCAAAATTGAGCTTCTTACGTTGAGTGGTTTGAGCAGGATCGTGATTAATCAGTATGTCAGTCACTTAAGGATTTTATATATTAGTATAGATCAAGAAAAATGAAGCAGTATCTGCTGGCGGGAGGAATGGATATGTTACTAGTGATTTTAATTTGTGAGGACAATTGCTTGTTGGCCTGAAGGGTTTATGCTCAAAAATATCCAAATAGAAATTTTCTTGACAAGCGTTTCTTTAAAAAACTACTTTTCCTATTTCGCAGAGCTCATAGTGTTGTATATGGCAAACCTATTAGGCAGAAACCTGTTGTTGGAAGTGAAGAAAATAAATTTGTCTTAATTGGCTCTTGTATAGAAAATGCAATATATCTACCAGTCATTTTAATATAAACCAAAGAACTACTTCTGTATTTTTCTTCATAAAATAATAAATACTTACTCACTAAACTATTGTAGGTAAATTAAATAAAAGTAAACTGTTCTAAATTTAAATAAAGTCCATAAACTAATGTCGATTTTGAAAATAGCTACTAATTGTCACTAGCAAATTGCCATGGCGACATCAGCCATCTTCATTGCCATTTTATTGAAAAATCGCTTTTTATTCAAAATCTGAGCCAGACAGGTATAGGAAACCCTAATATAGCTTGAAAGAACATTTAAATCTGCTTCGATTTATTTTAAAAAATACAAGGTGTTGCATTTGAAATAACGAAGTTTTTATGTAAAATAAATATTTAAAATAGACCAGCAATTTTTGATACCCCTGTATACATTTAAGGAAGCAATCATTTTTTTTAGTAAAGTTTACATTTACATTTCAAAATAATTTTAAATTATGCACATTGCTTCTCTACATATACCCATAAAAATTTTTGTTTCTACATCTTTCCGTTTTCGTATAATCAACCGAGGCAAATGAGGTGCGCCACCCTGTATATTTTCATATTTCATTCATATGTATGTATAGTATGTCATTGATCTGCAGTGTAGTACATTATTACAAATAAGCTATAAGCGTATGTAATTTGAGCTGTCAATTGCGAGAGATGGGGAAGTTCCAAAACTAATTGATTAAAAAATTAATTTTCTGTATAATTTTTTGAAGTGAAACTTCTTTACGCGCGTTATGGGAGTAAAAATTTCCGTAGAGTAAAAAGGCCGTGCACACGAGCTAGCGTCAGGAAAAGTGGTAAAGATAAGAGGTTATGATAGAACGTCGTAACTTGGGTCCTATGTGACCTAGGGGACTGAAACTCGGAACGTAGTATCTTTTCATGATATTTTGACGTTTCGTGCACTACGAAATCCCATCGTCAATAAATCAAATCACAAAATTGTCCGATTTAAATCAAATTTGTTATGTCGATAGATTGGACCGAGGCAATGAACTTTTTCATCTATAGATGTGAACCGATTCAGCTGTTAAACGACATCTGCGGCGCTAACACAACTTTTTTATTATTGACATTTTGAGAAAGATGCATTCTTCATTTAAATTTTTGCTTGTTCTAAAATGGTTAATCCCGTTTATATTTTTACAAATTTCCATATACCTCTTCTAAAGACAATCCGCGAACATATTGTATATGTTACGGTTAAGGTCCGATGTCCGGTTAATGTCGAGATTACCCGGTTAATCTCGAGAATAACACACAACAAAAAACATAACCAAACCCAAACATTAACCTATTAATGTCGATATTAACCGGGTGTATCTATCGTTAGCTATCGTTAGGGTGTTCATTTTTTTATAAGGAGAAACGTCAGTAATCGCCATAATTTAAAAACTCAACTTTTTAACGCATAACACGATTACTTAAGAACCACTTTAGATATTGAAACTTTTTTTTATTTTGAAGTTCGGATCGAGATGTTTAAGAAAAATTCAATAAGCTTGTTTTTTCCATTCAAAACTTTTAAAAAACCTATCTATTTACTTTTAGTGCATAGCAATTTTCAGCAATCGTGTAACTTTTTTATTTATAAAGATTTTCACGTACTGTCTGCAAAGAAAATATAGCAGAACTATTAAGAAAGGTTTTGAAAAAAACTACAACCAATTATTTCTAATGGATTTCGAAATATCGATTTTTAAGTTCAGAGTTCTAATAACGCGACCACTGTCGAACACCAACTCAATTCCGCTTATTTTTACCAATAATGCATGTTTCTAACTTGCACTTAAAAATTTACAAGCGATAGGAAAAATGTCAACGACTCGTTAATAAATAAACAAATAAAGTATAAGAAGACGTAATTAAATCGTGAAGCTGAACGCGTGATGTGCACCTTTTCCTAAAATTTTAAGTACTGACAGAGTTTTGTATGTTATCTGTGTGACAGAGGTACTGATGGGTCGACCGCGACGAATCTGCTATATCCCCTTCCACGTATCTTAGCAATGTGCACAGTTTCTCGGTTTATTTCATACGTTTGGCAACGTCTTTACTGTTCTCTCTTTGTTCAGTACATTATAAACGCATTATACTCTTTTTACATACGGAAATCTCGACCCAAAACCAACCTATATAGCAACCTAGCTCTGCAACCTAGATCTATGACCTAGATATTATCTTTTTACTTTTAATATTTTTTTCTATTTTACCTATTAATTTTTTTAACTGATAATTTCTTTCTCTCTCTTTCTGCAATTGTTTTTGCTTCGAAGAAATATTTTGCATTTCTGTTATAAATTGTTTGATTTTTATTATAGGAAAACATATGAATTCGGTCCATCCTGAACTTAGAAATTACAGCGTCTCCGATAATTACGCCTGTGGTTTGTGCCCGTTTAGCGTTAAAAGTATTGACTTGCTTAGATCACATCACTTAACGGCCCATAGAAAAAGTTTTGAAGAGAGTGAAGATGGAGGTAAGAGACTCTCTGTTTTTATTTACTTAGAGAATGTGTTAATAAACTACCAAATCTAGGTCCGATCATACTCAACAGCGCTTTCAGCGCGGAAGGTTCAAGTCGGGAGGCGAAAATTTTTAGACGATTGCAGTATAGCTGTGGCGCTTGCGACTATGCTACTAAAGATAAATCTAACCTTAGAAAGCATTTATTTACGCATGGTACAAAGCCTGTTATGTGCGATCACTGTAATTATAAATGTATTTCACCCTATCAGCTCAGAAGGCATTTGAAACAGAAGCATGTTAAACAGTCACTGCTAAAGGTAAGAAAAATAATTCTTGATGTACGTGCGTAATAGCTTTAGAATTAACAATTTTATGTGTACTATATACCGGGTGCGTCTCAAAAGTGGCTCCCCCTATAACTTGTAGCATTAGAAGTTATAAAAAAAAATGGAATGTTTTTTTAAAGAATTTTCTTTTGAAAAAATATTAAAACAACTAACACTATGCGACGGAGCTGTTCGCCGGTGAGCAATGGGTCGTAAGCTAGTGAAAATTAAACAGTGATACTTACGTCTTTATAAGATACTGGGCGCCACTCAGTTTTCCATTTACTTTCGAAAACTTCTAAGTTGAAAACTGAGAAATCAACTCAGGATATAGGTATTACTTATTTTAGGAATTACACAAATGAAACGCTGAGACAAACTAATAACTAAGTATAATTAATTAATAATTAGATGTAAAATAGAATTAAATCAGACTATGAAAATATTTGTTGGTAAATTGTATGTTATCAAAATAAATCACTCTTATTAATGGTAGTTTAAATCTGCACGCTTCTGAATAATATTTTTACTAATTATACCGCATAAAGTCTGGCGATCTTGGTACCAAAATGTAGGGACTCTTTATATTCAAAAAAAAACCGTACTATGTGAATATCAGAAATATGCATAACATGCGTAAAATTTATCAAAGTGAATTCTTAAGTAATTAAATATATAACATGCCTGAAGGGCTTAATAAATTCAAATGCCTGAAGGGCTTAATAAATTGAAATGAATTTAAATTATATAGGTATAAAATTAAATGATCTGGCCTTTTTATCCGTTCTGGTCACAAGCTGGTTGTGGTGAACTTCTACCGGAACTGGATTGTGGTATAAGTTGGTTTCTGAACAGACAGGATCGAAAACTTGTGTGGATTCAGGATATTTCTCCGGTATTCCCGTTGTGAAATGTAGAGACAAAACGTGGACCAAATCTCAGGTGCAAAAAAAGACAAAATGGCACCATAAAATAAAGCCACCATAAAATGCCTTAAAATAAAATTCTGCCATAGACTAAAATGCTGCCATAATTAAAACCCTATAGAAAGAAAAGAAAGGTATTAGGAAACGTTACTCAACGTTACGTTTAAAAATAAGAGTCTTACCTCTGCTCAGAGGGTTTTCCCACACAAATTGGCAAAATACCAACAAACGCCGATAGCTCTATCGGGTTCAGCTTTAGCCACCAATATGGCGATAAAGGTGGGCACGAGGTATATACCTATACTGTCAGAAATAAAGTGACGAACGAAATTCGACCGGACTCAAATATCTCGCCAGAAATAAATAAGAAAAAATCAGAGATATGGAAGTGGGAGAATGAGCTTCGACGAGTGCGCATCCAAATTTTTGTCGACGGCAAGATGGCAGACATCTTCCAGGTCTCGCTGTCACTTCCCCTCTTTAATTGACATCTGTTTGTTTTGTTTTGTTTTTCGTTTGTGTTGTTATCTAGTTAAAATTTATTATTATCTCAATTTGGTATGTTAGTATATGACATAAATAGGGATTAATTGACGTATTCAATTGTTTTCGGTCACTTCCTGTTTCACCGGAAATGACTACAATTTTTGATTTTTAAATGGGACTCTCGGAATTTTTTTACTTTATTCCATAGAAAATGACACTCTGAATCGAATGACATATCTTATGTCAACTTTTGACATATTCGCTCAAAAACAAATTGAATTTTAAATTTCAATCTAGAGTGCCATGGCTGTGTTAAAAACACTAATTTTTAATCAAGGAGCCTTGAAAAGATAAGTTTGATCGTCTAATGTTTTTAATGTCTTGCCCTGGCCGGTTGCCCAAATCGTGTTTTTATCATATTTCAATTTTTTTAAATGGAACGAGGGCGGCTCATTAGCATGCTTGAAAAAAGCATTTTTTACAAGTAATTTGATACCACACACTTTTATATAATAATATTTCGGTATATTCGAGTCAAATTATCGTTACGAACCGCGTGTTTTGTTTTGGTTTGGTTATAATTTCAAATAAAAATAAACCATATGCGAAAATGTCAAAAGTTGACATATTTATGATACGTCATCCTATTCAAAGTGTTCTATCGAATAAAGTAAAAAAATATCGAGGGCGCCATTTAAAAACCAAAAGTTGTAGTCATTTCCGGTGAAACCGGAAGTGACCGAAAACAATTGAATATGTCAATCAATCCTAATTTATGTCATATAGTAACATACCAAATCAAGTTGATTTATCTGAAAAATAGCCACTTTTGAGACGCACCCGGTATACAGGGTGTTCCTTAATGACATGCTAATATTTAAGAAGGTGATTCTTGGAACCTATTATATATAATAATATATAGTACTCGATATGTCGAATGAAGTGGTCGTGTGCGAATGTTGCTCGGACAATTTCATAGTAAATATTAAGTTTATAAAGTGTTTTAATTGCAAAAAGCAGTTTCACTTGTCATGTGTCAAAATAAAGGATAATGTGAGTAAGCAAATTCAGGAATGTGATAATCTTTTTTGGTTCTGCAATACATGCAAGAATTTTGGTGCAACGCAATCTAGAGATGCGAAAATAATAATTTTAGAGAAAGAGGTGCAATGTTTAAACAGAGAAAAGCAACTCTTAACGAAACTCATAAATGAATTAGAATATTCCAGCCAGCTGCAAAAATCTAAAATAATTGAATATGAAGAAAAATTGTTGTTCGTACAGGGAACGGCGACAAAATTTCAGCAAAAACCCAACGAAAAATACCTACAGCTCGCCGAAACCTTCGCTGCCTGCGGTACCTTCGACATCCTATGCCGCTATTGCCGCTACTAGTATTTCTGCAGCAAATTCTTTGCCAATTAATCGCATAGATTCAAAAATGGTTTCTGCAGAAATTTAAAAGTTCATACACAGAATAAGTGTAATGATTATATAAATATAAATAATACAGGAAATAATAGTAAAAATACACAGAGTCAGAATCGAAGGAAACCACATGTTGTTATAGGAAAACAATCTATGGAATCCAATGAAAACTATATTAAAGGAGTTCCAAAAATAGCGTCGCTACATGTTTATCGTCTTGCTCCAAATACCAAAGCTGATCAACTTACCAAATTTTTAAAACCATCGTTTCCGGAAGTTACATATGAAGAGCTTTCGTCAAAACACCCTGAAGTGTATTCATCTTTCAAGGTGAACATTTATCAAGACCATCTCAAGGATGCAATGGATGCAACCAAGTGGCCAGAAAATGCTTGTATTAGCCGTTTTTTATATCTAAAGAAGAAGGACATAAGACCGTCATAGATTCAAATCTGCTGCTTCTCAACATACAGGGATTAAACGTGACCAAAATTGACAATTTGATTATGGATATTGAAAATTACAAAAATTTGATGTTTATATGTTTAACAGAAACATGGTGTAAATACGAAAATATAGACAGCATATGTATACCGGATTATAAATTAAGTGCGAAGTTTTGCCGAAGTGTGTATCAACGTGGTGGCGTTGGAATTTGGACTAGACTTGGTATGGATTATAAGGTCATTAACGTGGATAATTTTTGTAGTGAAAAAAATTTCGAGGTATGTGCAATTTCGTTTAATCTAAATGGAAAATCATATAAATTAGTAAATTGCTATCGGTCGCCACTAGGAGATGTGAATATATTTATAGATAATATATATAATGTTTTAAATTTCTTATATAAACCAAGCGATTATCTAATAGTTACAGGTGACTTCAATATAAACTCGTATTTAAAAAATAACAATGATTTTCAACGTCTACGTCTAGTATTGGAGTCGTTTGGTTTTTACCACTTGATACACTGGCCTACAAGGGTGCAAGGTACATCTGTATCAAGGCTAGATCAAATTTTTATAAATTTTGAGACTGAGAATTTCCCAATTGTGGTGGATGTTCCCTACAGCGACCACAGAGCTATCTTTCAACATTTTGGCAATATTACGAATTGCAACAAGACTTCATACATTTTTAAACGAAAATTCGATAATTGTAGTATTAATAGTTTTAAAACTGCTTTAGAGAATGAATCGTGGGAAAATTTATATAATATGAATAATATAGGGGAAGGTATGATCTTATTTTTGAATATATTTTTGTATCATTTTAATATATGTTTTCCTGTTAAGAGGACTAAATTAATTCATTCCAATAAATCTTGGATAACACAGCAAATTAGAGACTCCAGTGAAAAGTTGAAAAACTTTTATTTTTTATCCAAAAGATATAACAATTTTATAAAAATATATAAAGAATATAAAACAAAACATAGAAATTTAGTAAACTGGACAAAAAAATATATTATGAGAAAAAAATATCAGAATCTGATAATCCCGGAAGAAGTGCATGGAGTATAGTTAAAGAACTCAGTAACAAAATTGAAAAACAAAAGTCCAACATAGAATTATCCATCGATAATAATATCATACAAGACCCTGAACTCATAGTAAATTATTTCAATACAAACTTTAAAGAAGCTCCGTATCGAATAAGAAATAAAATATCAAAAGTACAATCATATTGTTACGTTTTTCGTCGGTTCCGTGTGGATAGAAAGTCACAATTTATTTAAACACTATTTATTTAACACTAATTAACAAAAACAATAACGATAAAAGACTTATAGAACTATTTACAAACGATTTATAACTAAGAATTTATTTTGAATTTTCGCGCGTCAACTGCACTGGTATATTTATAACTGCCCTCTCTAGGCCACTGCCGCCGGCTTTTATACCTACAGCAAAAAAAGAAATCTAGAATAGTCCATAGATCGTTAGGCGCATAGAGAAGGTTTTCGAATGTTCTCGTATGTACTAGTCCATTCTAGTGGGTCTCGATTCTTCTCGAACGAATGAATCATTGCGGTGTCTATGCGATGTTAAGGTCATCCGAGGCGGGCCATATTGTGAGGTTAGGTCGAGTCGACACCGGCTCGCAACACTGCCCCCTTCTTAGGCACATGCTCGTCCCGAGATTATACGG